TTTTATCAGACCCTGCTTTGCTTTAGCAACTCTGCCAGGTCATGTCTTTGGCGTGCTACATGTTTATTTCCTAGGACTGAAAAGCTCCATCTGGGAACTTTGCTTGCTTTGTATATGCAATCATTTGCTTGCGGGGGGTGCATAAAGGAACAAATCCATCCATTTGTCCCTGTCTTCTGAACAGATCTGAAGAGCATTATAACTAGCAATCACCTACCTGTGCTTCCTTGGCTCTGGAAATGTGTACAGCTTTCATCTTCTGAGTGTGCAAAGACCCTGACTGAGTACAATAAAAATGAGGAAAGACGTCAGATTTCTCAAAGTGTTGAAGCCATGGGGTGGATGGGGGAAATTTGAAATATGCAGCCCTCATTTTCTTATGAAGCCTAACCTTATTTTACTGCTTTATTAATATAAATTACTCACTTCGTAACTGAAATATCACATAAAATTGTGGCATTTCAGAGCATTTGAAATTTATAGAGCATTTTCATTTAAATATTTCAGGCTGCCTTTGAGGGGAGACCCTTCCAAGGTGATTTTATTTCCTGCTTCGCCTATGTAGGTTTGCAGGCTCAAAAGTATACATTCCTGGCAGTACAGTTAAATAGGTGTCTACCTGGAATAAGCCCCTTGAATTCAGTGGGGCTTCCTCTCGGCTATGTATAGAATTACAGCCTTAGTTTTGTGAAAGCAAAATGGCAAACTTGCTCAGTACCTGAGAGATGCAGACTATTGCACTCAGAGCCTCCCTATGCACATGTATTTTAGTTATTGGCATCTGAGCCGTAAGAAAAGAGTAAATGCTGAAATAGAAACCGCACTGCAAACAAAAGAAGATGAATTATTCAGACAGAAACAGTCACAGTGTTAAGGGCTTTGTAACAAGATTGAAAACACTGAAGTCCGTGGGAATTATTATGTATAATCTCAGGGGTTTGGTTCAGCCAAGGCACCTTACTTACAGATTCTAGGGTACTCAGAATGAGCAAAGATGCTGTTATTGAATACAATGCTGAGATATGAATGCAAAATTCAAGGAAGAAGAAAGCTTACATCCCCTTCTCTGTGACTGTACTAATTCCTTGAATAGGTCAGGGAATGCTCTGTGGGCCTCCAAAGATTCCTGGAGCAAAGATGTAGTAATTCTCTCCCCATGCTGAGAACAAAAAGCAACACTGCTTTCCATAGATTTTATAAAGTTCCTCTCTCCTCCAGTTCCAGAGGCTGCCAGGATACAAACAGGCTCTACTTCCTGGGAGAGGGACAAAGCTGCTTTATTTAAAAAAACGGTTTCAGTTCTCATGGCCAAAAGCAGCTCTTATCTATAGAATGTATTGGAGGAAAGCAGTTCAAGGTAATTATTTTTGGGTACTCTTCCTAACAAGCTGAAGGCCATAATGTCTTGACATGGCTCCACTGCTGTCTTAATACTGGGAAAGTTCATTACACTTCCATACCTGTTGCACCTGGACAACCTTCCTTCTTTTCATACCGCTCATCTGATATACCATGTCGTACTGCTGTAGATTCCACATTCCGCACCATGTCATAGAAACCATTTTCCTAATTTCCAAACAAAACATATTTCATAGACTTCACATAAACACCCTCCAGTTGTTTTCCAGAATGCTGGGGTTTCTACTGGAAAAATGGAAAAAGCCCTTTATTTCTGAGTGTTTTAGGTATTCTGCTATACATTATGTTGGGAAAAACATAGTCTAACTTTCCTGGTTGCCAAGAGACTCTCCCTCTTTCTGCAGAGTTATTTTTGGGAGGTGCGGGAAGTCAGTGCAGTCTTTGGTAATTGATCTTTCTATTTTTACCTTTTTGGGAATGGTTTAAAATTTGCTCTTTAGGGAACTGTTTGATTAATGTTCTTGGGGTTCATTTCCCTTCCTGGGGCCCTGGAAGTTCAATATTCAAGTGCAAAGTGGCTGTGTTACCACCATGAATATGACCACTCAGTTTCTGTGCACCGTTGGGATAGGGGAGAAATGTGCTTTAACCACATCTTAATGTGAACTTATCTAACTGTTTGTTCTTCTGAAACAATACAAGAAGAAAAAACATTTCCTTTCTAAATCTCACTTCTCCAAATGCTGGAGCAGAGTTTTCTGATTAGCAAAAATACACAAATGTGAGCCTTATGGGAAAGCATGCATGAACATGCCTATATGGGGAGGTGGTGGTGAGAGGAGATCACAGAAAGCTGTGCTTATATTACGAAAGCTGCCTGTGAAAAACATATATATTAGTCAAAAATGTGTATAAAAATGCTTACATTAGGACAGATCCCCACAAAAATGCATAAACATTGTTCTGGCCTTAAAAACATTCTCAGAGTTCATCATGAATCAAACGTAAGACTGGAAAAAGGAGAAATGGGGGCCTCTGAAATAGACAGCATTGTCCATCTTTTCCAGGCAGTGCACAGCTCTTTCGCATGCTGCAGCCTCTGAGGAATATTTGAACAGCTGCTAACTTAACTGTAGGTCATTTTTATTTGGGATGAGGATGATGAGGATGATTATGATTCCGGATGGACTAGAAAGAATCAGTGTGCTGGGTGGGAGACTGATTTGATCCTTGGTATGAGAATTTGTATACTACATGTATGTGCCTATTGTCCTCTGTAAAATATTGGAAAGTTTGAAACATCCTCCCTGGCTTCTGCATAGAACTTCAGAAGCTTTGAAGTATCTGATTCCCTGCAGCCCACGATGCAGCACACCAATATTCCTTATCAAATGAATTTTGTGGTCAGAAAACTGTCTGGCCTAAAAATATTTCCTTTCCATCATATGTACAATGCTCAGAATGAGCAAGTTTTCCTTCCCTTCTTTCTGAGACCCTGTAGCAAACAATGAACTTGAACTCTCCTGAATTATGTTGAACCTATAGGAAAGTTCAGTCCCCAGACTGCCAATTTTAAAACGATCCTATAATTGTTTCCATGAGGGCAAGGAAGCACCCAAAATATCAGTATTTGGAGACACGTTCTTTCATTACAATGCGCCTATTTCATTCTCAAGAGCTGAATTTTGCTGCCTGCTGGAATGCTTTAAACAGGAATGTTTCATATTCACATGAATAATGCTTGCACTTGACATGGAAATGTTGAATGTGCAGTGTTGGCTTTTTCAACCAAGTAGTAGCAATCTCGCATAAATCACACTGGTTTTATATTGCTTGTACAGAGAGCTGTGTGGATAATGTCCTCTCCGTTGTTGTACAGGGCAATTCGATAATGCCAGGTATGCTGCTGTGCTGTTGTTTCACAACCAAATCCATCTTCTTAGACACCTGCTGCAATCATTAATAAAATGAAGTATTCAGCTGGGAAACGGAACATAGGAAATTGCCTTAGTCGCAATTCAGAACCTTGGTTGGTGGCGCAGTTGGGTTGGACATCAGGGCTAATGCCAAGGGCCTCGCAGTCCAGGGTGTAAAGGCCCACCCAGAGATTGGCAGGTGGTCAGGGCAGGAGCAAACAGCCCTGGTGCCAGCACATGGCATGGGCCTTTCATATACTGGTTACGGATGTTCATTTCATTCTTTTACTTGTCTACAACAAAGTAGTGCTTCTTTCCAAATAAGTATGTTTTGCATCAGGGCAACAGAAACAAGCTCCGTTTTATCCTTGTAGAAATGATAGTGCTTTGATTTAAGTGAGTTGAAAATGCAGAAGTGGATGATCTCAGGGCATTTTTAAAAAACTAGTGTTAGCAAATACTGTTGCTCTTGCAGCTCCGGCAAATGAGGAATGTGAGGCATTTCTATACAAGGCAGTTTAATCTGGTGCCTCTTTTTTCATTTGTGTTGCAGAAATCTGAGCTCTACACAAAGACTTATGCCATTCCTGAGTTTCCACCACGTAATGTCTAGGTGGAGTTGTGGTATAGTGGAATAGTGTAAATATGCAAGAAGAAAGACTGGTTGGGGATGATGGGAGTTGTGGTCTAATGCAGCTGGGGGACTCCAGGTTGGGGAAAGCTGAGTTACATGGAGCACTGGCATTAGTCCCTTTGATTCATTTGTGCTTGCAGATTGCATGGCCCTAGGCTAGTACTCTCCCTAGGACTAGTACACAACCACAGATGTGTGGTTTGGAGGGCAACCACAACAAGTTGGAGAAGGGAGGTGCAGAATTGGGCTGCAGGGCTCAGAAATGCTGTGTTAGCAAGCCAGATTTGTGAAAACAGCAGCTTTCCTGCTGTGTCTCATTTTTGTGCTAGCACTGGTGGAGCCCGATCGGCCCAGCCCACTGCATGTCCTCCAGATGAATGACCAGAATGCAATAATATATTGTTCCTTGTTCCTCTGGGGCTGCCAAACTGCAAGAAAATGGATGCATGGCCTTGAAAGGAAGGCTTTTCAAATCTGTGTGCTGCTTTTCCAAAAGAGTTGCATCCAGTGATAGCATCACTGAAAGTAAGCCAATTGGATAGTTAAGTTCATTTCGGTGGGTCTACTTTAAGTACGGCTAACATTGGGTGCAACCAAAAATCACTTAGACTATATTGAGATCCTTTTTCTCCCTTCAGTTTTTTATTGAGAAATTCAGCAAAGTAAACAAAAGAACATCTTAATAAAAAATGAAAGTGTGCATATATATCTGTATAGTTGCATATTTTTTAAAAAAAACAGTCAGTCATACCTCAGCTTCAGTAAAGGCAGATGAATATCCATTTATATTTCCACTCGGGGTGGCATTTGTATGTCATTTGCACAAATATTGAAAGAGTCATTAGCTCTTTGATCCATTGCATTGTTGGAGATAAACTTTGCTCTTTCCAGTGCTGCAGTCAGGTCTGAAAGTGTCCCCGGTACTTTTACGCGTAACTCTCACAAAGCAAATGTGGCACTCCTTAAAAGGGTACTACTGTGAGCCACCTCCACGCGGATCTTCCCTCAGCTGTCCCATAACATGCATGAGTGAGAAGGAGTGCTCCCTCCTCTGGCTGGAAGGAAAACTGACACTTTTGTCTTCTGTTTAGGTATCCAACTGGTTTGCCAATGCAAGGCGTCGCCTTAAAAATACCGTCCGACAACCAGACCTCAGCTGGGCTTTACGAATAAAGCTGTACAACAAGTATGTTCAAGGAAATGCTGAAAGGCTTAGTGTAAGCAGCGATGAGTCATGCTCAGAAGGTTTGTTTTTAATATTTTCACAATGTTGTCCATGCAAAACCAGTAAAATTGGAAATGGCTGTTAGTTCTCAAAAAACTGGTGTTCTTGCGTCCTGTATGGAGTTGTCTTCTCAGCTCACTCTCTTGCGTGCTCTTTCTCTCATACACACACCCGCATGCACACACTTTCATTAACTAAGGGGCATCTCCTTGGGGCTTTCGAGGAAGAGCAGATGCATCTATTCTGCATGCTCCAAGCTCTTCTGAATTAAGAGCAGCTATAAGGCCAGTGCAAAGCCTGCCACCTGTGTAGCTCGGATATGTTGTGAGCTTTGTGGGAAGAGATGGTCCCCGTGCCATCTCCTCCCAGGGTTTCAGCTTATCATGAAAAGGTCCCTGTGCCTTCATAGTTCTTTGGATGCATCAGACTTTTTTTGAGATTTCAGCTAGCTGCAGTTCGAATCTGCCAGATGTGTGTATTAGGGAGATCAGTGTGCGTGGGCAGTGAAGGACAGAGAAAGAGAAAGAGACTTGCTTCCTATGATAACCACTGCAGTTCTCACTGAACAGTACCTCGTCTTGGTGGGAACTACTGAAGTGATAACAGTCAGCAGAGCCCTGGCTGACTAAGAGACTCTTTTCCTGCATTTCCCTTCTTTAGATCACAAGCTGTTGGGCTTTTCTTTGGACTCTGGCATGATCCAGAGAACACACTGCAGACAGTGTAGAACAGGGTCATACTTTATTTGTCCTATTTGGTTTCTAAGCTAACTGTAGTGCCACATAAATTGCCCAGTGTGTGTTAAATAGAACCTTATTAGGCTGATAGAGGCAAATAACTTTCTATCCATCTCCTTTCAGTTTCATGGAGAAATTTATATTTCACTCTGATTTTGCTAACCATCTCAGTATCTCTCCCTAGAAAGGACACTAGGTTTGCCAAAGGTACGTAACCAGAAGTGTATCTACAAAATTAGAGTCTCTTTTGCCCAGATTAGAACCCTATATTAATTTTTGCAGTTGCAGACAAAATGTGGTTTTCAGAGGGCAATCTTAACTATCAAGTCATACTCTGACCTTAAAAATTCCTTTTTAAAATGCTGTCATCTTAATGTGGCAACCTCTTAATCAAAGGCAAAGAAGTACCAGATGGAAAAGGGACCTTTCCTATGACAGCCTTCATTAAGCTCATTTATCATCATGCGAACAAATCAATAATTGCCACCATCAGCCATTGGTGTTTTGATGCAACGTGGCTACTTGCTGTTTACCATACATCTCCAAGAAGACAGAGACTTAATCTCTGCTGCTGCAGAGGGCAAGACAGTATAGTCCACCTTTCTTCTTCATGAAATTCAAGGTGATTACTATATATGGCTCTCAGGGGGTCTCCGCTCAAAGCACTGACCAGACCTCGGCCTGCTCAGCTTCGGGAAGGTAGCTGCCTCACGTTCCTTTAGTCCCTTCTACCAGACTAGGGCTTCTCTTTCTGGAGGGGAGGTCCAGCTGAATACGAGGAGAGCCCTGGAAATGGTGGGAGCAGTTCAGCGATGCAACCAGGGTGGGTCCCTTGCTGGAGCTCTTCAAGCAGAGGCTGGGTGGTCGTCTCCTGGGGATGCCATAGCTGTGCTTTTCTTGTATCAGGCATGCAAGTGGATTCTATAACTCCTCCAACATTATGAATCTCCCCACTGTGACTGTGATCTCCCACTTTTGGCAATTTTGTGTAGGGAATGAACTCTTTCTGCCCGCATACATGGCATCCTGTGAGAAGTGAACAGCCAAATGGTTGCCCACGTTTGTGCTCTTAAAGTCCTGGAGCACCTAGGAGGAGTCCGCTTTCTCAGCCAGTTCTGCTTAGGTGACCCCTGCTAGGTGCCTGCCACAGGATATCTGCTCGTCACTCTGTCTCCTTCGGGAGAGAGGACTCATGCTGGGGCAAAGGGAGGACTCATTCTCGTCCTCCGTCATCTTCTCAGAGTAATTCTTGGGATCCCCCTTTGGTCCTGTGGATGCTGTGCTTTCTTTTATCAGCCTTTGCAATTCCCGAGGCTGCCTTTCTCTGCCCCCACCTACCTCCCTGCAAACCATCAGGGGCATTTGATCCTTGTGCTCTATCAGAGGTGGGGACCCGTGTTGGGCTGGGTTGCCCCACCTTGACCAGGCCAGCAGGGCCTGTTCCTTTCTCTGCTCTCTCCCCAAGACAGGCACGCCCCTTTCTGCACGGAGCAGGGGGCTTGCAGGACACGGTGGCAGAGGGGGCTTGAGTGGTACCCAAAGGGGGGGATCCCCCTGTATTCAGGGTAGCGAAGGGATGCTGCTGCTCAGCTTCTCATTCCCACTGCAATCCCCAAGTCCTCTCTGGTCACAAATCACCCTCCATGGGCTGGATCTGGAACCCTCCAACCAGAGTCGCCCTTCCATGAGATGGGGTGAGTCTCCGCCCTCAGGGGGTGGAGCTTGCTGTCCTGCCATGGCCCCCGTTGCCGCAGCCTCATGCCCACAGAGGAGTCCTGTCAGCGGCCACTCTGGATGCAGCAGGGAGCACCCGCCATGGCTCTCCGGGGCAGCTACTGCCAGGCCCCCTTGCCTGACCCTGAGCAAGTCATAGGCGGGCTGCCCGGGGGAATCCATGCTGGCCACTGCCACACTACGGCAGGGGCTGCAGCGAGGGAACGCGTGGCCTGAGTCTTCAGAGCGGTGGACTGCTTCCGAGGGAGTCCCTGCCCTCTGCTCCAAAGAGCCCCGCTTGGCCTCTGCACTGCTCTGGCAATGCTGCCGCAGGAGGGGCCCAGCACAGGGCGCCACAGCACGGCCCCCCGACGCCTCGCTCCAAGCAGGCAGAGAGCAGCCCTGCCAGCTGCTTCCCCAGCATGGCTGCGCTGCGGCCGGCAGCCACTACGGCTCTCCCCGGAGCTCTCCAAATCCCTCCCTCAGTGAGCCCGTGGCAAGGAGGGGGCCTGCACCGCTGTGGCCCCCAGGCCATGCCCCACTCAGAGGAAGGGGTTGAGGGGACGGTGGGTGGCAGGAGCTGGCAGGCAGGAAGAGCGGCAGTGGTGGCGGCCTGTGCCGCCCCCCCCCCCCCTTGCTGCAGTGTGGGCAGCAGAAGTGGCTCCTCGCCTCTTCCCCATTGTCGGGGGCAGTGGCAGCGGGGGCCCTAGTGCGTCCCCGCCTGCTGTGCTGGCACTGCCAGCCATCAGCCTGACAAGAGCACCGCAAGATTCCCGCAGCCGGGAACACAATGCCTTCGGCAGTATATGCTGTACGGTATATTTGAACACACACTGTCATAAACAGCTTTTCGGGTGAAATTGCCTGGCATACAAAGCATCTGCTGTTCCTGAATCGTCTTGTGTTCCCTTCGAGGCATGAAAAGGTGTCTGGACAAATGTTCCCCTTTTACTTTGAAAAAGAAGAAGAAAAGATCTGCTTGAAAACACTTTTGGATAGGAGGAAAATTTCGACTTGGTAATAAGCTAAGAGATTTTAGGAAATAGCATTATGATAATCTAGTCTGATCTCACTTTTCCTATGAAGACTTAATTAAGACTATTTATTTTTAAGGAGGCACATTGCTAATGCTTTTTCTTTGATGGGCCTTCTCCCTTCAGATGGTGAAAACCCTACAAGAAACCATATGAATGAAGGGGGATACAACACCACAGTTCATCACAGTGTGATTAAAACTGAAAGCTCCGTAATAAAACCTGGAGTAAGACCAGAAGGGAGTGCCAATGAGGATTATGTATCGCCCCCCAAATACAAAAACAGCTTGTTGAATCGCTACCTGAATGACTCATTGAGGCATGTCATGGCCACAAATGCAGCCATGATGGAAAAAACAAGGCAAAGGAATCATTCGGGATCATTTAGCTCCAATGAATTTGAAGAGGAACTGGTGTCTCCGTCATCCTCTGAGACTGAAGGCAATTTTGTGTACCGGACAGGTAGGGTAACTTTTCCAGTGCTGTTGTCTTTTGTTCATTTATTTATGCTGGAAATTTTGTGTCCCAGCAGTGCTAATCCATCTTCTCAGAGCTGTTATAACGTGTGGCAGTTTTAATATGCCAAGTGCTTGAAAATTTGGCCATCTAATTAACGGCCTAGTGAGGCAGCTCATAATTATTCCTGTTTCTGCTGATGAGTAGTTTAAGATGGGAGAACCCTCCTGAGAGTTCCTATAATAGATCAGCTGGAAAAATCTCTCTTAAATTCCAGGTTTGAGAATTCAGCGAGTTCTGAAATGGACCTGGTGGAAATTGGATGGATGGATGGATGGATGGATGGATGGGGCTCTTCCTTCATTGTTCTGCCTGCCAGGATCAATGTTGGGATTGTGCAAAGCACAAATTAAGAATAATATCTCTGGGCATGCACAGAACTTACTCTCACTCTGTTATTTCTTCCTTCAAGGAAGGTACAAAAGGGTATGTACAGCTCAGATCAGCTGCTGACAATGGATATATCAGCATTTTGGAAGCCACTGCTGAATGGATACTGTACAGAGTAAACTCTGTATTTATCTAAAGTCATGTGAAGCCAGCCAGGAATGAAACGATGGCTTTTATTGTCTGAGCCATGGAAGAGAGCATCTTCTTTTTGCAGACTTTGTGAGAAACTGGTCAGTTGATACTTGAAGATGTGCATTTACTGGACCAGTTCAGGGCATCCTTTGTTTATCCCACAGTGCGTTTGGTATACAGAAGTTACTGATATGCAGAGTTCTGTATCATTATCATCAGCTGGGATCACAGTTAAGCAACTTTGTTGAATCAAGAAAGTTCCCCCTCCAGATCTTGACTTTTTGGCGCAATGCCATTGCTTTTGTTCAGTAATCTAAATACATGATCTAATGTATTGATTACATAATCAAACCTCATCTTGATTTCAAAGCTCTTCAAAGCTGCACGTTAGATGTCAGCAAATCTTAAATCAAAACCACCACTTCTTTGGTTGTCCCACCACTGAAGAAGCCAAGGAAAGGCTGAGATAAGCAGCATCTGCTGAATGTGCAGTGGGCTATTTTGGAAGGAAGGGCATCACTCCTTGGTCCAGCAACTCTTATTTTGCTCTTTCAGAGTATCTCTTTGGGGCCCTTCTACAGATTAATGGGGGAACCTTGAGTTACTGTTGGACTGGTCTCTTGGTGCCAAGCTATCTCAGAAAAGAGAGCTGTACAGGAGATGGACTGTATGATTTCTGTAACACACTCTTAATACTGCGTTCCCATCTCTTTATATAGCCTATTCTTACAGCATCGCTAAGAGGTGGGCCCCTCATTCTACTTGGTGGAGAATGACTCTCCCACAACGCATGGTGTTATTTCTCCTCCATGGTAGGCTCAGGTCAGATGCTTATAGGGCTACTGCCAAAAATAGCCTCCCCACAGCAATTGGGCCCTGTCCTGGCTGTAACGTGTGACATTCCTTAGCACATGGAATGCCAGCATCCTCTTGCTGAATGTCTCCCGCTCCCCCCAGAGCCAGCAGAAGTGTGGGCAGAGGGAACAGAGATTGGCAAGTTGGTGGTGTCACTGATTGTGGTAAACACACCGACATGATTAGTCCCTTCATAAATCGTATTGTCTCTTTTTTGCATCAGGATTCTATGTTCTTGTTTCTTTGAGCTGCATTGGACTGTCTACTTCAAATGACTTAGGGCTCCCTTTGACTGCCTGTCTGTATAGTGCTAAGAACAAGAGATTTCCTGGACAATCGAGTGATTTCTAAAGTTTCTAATGAGACTCCCCGATTGAAATTTGCCACTGTTCAGTCCACAACGGTCAGCTGTATCCTCTCATGTGGGATCCACCCTTCCATTTTAGCATGCTGTGCCCTGTGAGCCACATCTGTGCTCAACTGTCTCAGAGAACTTTTGCAGAGGTTTTGGAAATGAGAGCAGATGGAGGCCCTTAATCGTTCTTTCCAAGCAATCTGAGAGTCCCCACAAAATCCCTAGGACCTTAACTCTGCTTTGCAACTTTGCAACCTCTTTATAGCTCTTGATTCACGGTATAGAAATCCCTGTACTACCTTAAAGGAATGTTCATTCTACAGCTTTTTGACACTGCTTCTACAGGCTAGGAATAGATTTTTCCTCTGAAAAATACTTTTTTCTCTTCATCTAATTTGTTCCTGTACTTCCAGGAATATATTTTCAGATAAAGGACATAGAGTCGGTTGCATCCAAACTCGTTAATGCTTCAAGTAGACCCACCAACATCAGTGGGATTTAAGTTGGTTATGACTAAAGTCCCATTGATTTAAATACTCTACTCTAACTATGACTAAATATGGATCCAGTCCACAGTCATAATGCATACCTCTGTTTTAAAAGTCAGATTCTGAAAGTTGGTTCTTTGAATCATATATGATTTTCTTCCATGGGAAGTGGGGGATCTGAGGCAGAGTAAACATCTGGGGGTTTTTGTGGGAATTCCCAGATTACATGGCTAGAAATGAATAATGCATGTTCCATTTGGTCTACTTCCAAGAGTTTCTGATCTTCTGTGGTCTTCCAATTGAAGACAAAATGACCACACCTTTCATGTGAGTTGCAAGTTGAGGAGACCGCCGGACATAGTATATTTGGAGCGCTAAAATATTTTGCGTAGAGTAGGAGCTGTGGTTGCATAGGGAATGTTTTCCAAGTGAAATCTCTTGGTTTTTTAATGCTATTTTTCAACATTCCAAGTGCATTTGGTCTACATTATTGATAATCAGCTGCCAGATTTTAGTTTTAAAATGAATGTTGTTCAAATGAGCACACAGTAACTTAAGACATGTAAACTTCTGGTTTTCTATACTTATACAACTGGAATTTAAAAGTGGCCATAATCTTGAGTAACAGAATTGTTACTTGGCCCGTTCTTCGTGCCTGCCAGCATTTTAGCTTTGAGCGGAGTAGGGGGTGGGGGGCTCTTTTAATAGGCCAAGGCAGTGGTACGATAACCACGCTAACATTAGCAGGCTGAGCATTTGGAAAAACAAGCTATGAATTGTTATATGATCACCCTAATCTCCCTGTTTTTATGTGTGCAGAACTCCTGCAAATTTAAGTCCAAAAATGAAGCTACTTTAATTCAGCCTGCTCTTGCCAAGTGCAAAGGGGCACTTCTAGTCACACTGCCAGGCAGGAAGATTGTCAATTTTTAAAAAAGGATCTTCATCACTGTCAATCCTGCATCTTTTTTCCAGTGTTCTTATAAATTGCAAGTGCAGAAGCCATTACAAATGCAGTCACTGAAAGTGTATTAAAGCTAAAATCCCTTGCATCTCTTTCTAAGATATAATATATTCTATAATTTATATTACTACTAGCTTATTTATTACTACTAGCATTGGTTGGTTTTAGATTATTGTATTCCACAGCCATTATGAAAACAATTTGCATCTTTGGCATGCTTATATATTTTAAAAATACGTTTCAAAACTTGGTATATGTGACCATTAGTCAAACTTTAAATGCATGGCTTTCTTGTTCATTCATTCTGACTTTTTCCCACACGGTTTAAAATTAAATTTTGGAATCTCTGTAGCTCTGCAGATTGGCATTCCAAACTATCTTGAAGGAAGACACTGTAGCCTCTAGAGAAAGAGTTTTATTTTGAAATGTTTAATTAATTCATTATATATCAAACAAATGACATGCTTATTACCTTAATACGTGTAATGCTTTGGTAGGTTGGTTAATTATATACATTATATAACATGGGACACTCAGTAATCGCCTATCCAAAGAACTGTTCAAGTCTGTTTCTGCTCAGCCCCAGCCGCCAGTGTTCCCGGTCCATCCGATCATTTGGACCAAGTAGAAGAGAAGTGCTTGGAACGACGTTGTACTGGCTGGGTGCGGGATTTTGGATCTGTATGCATTGTGAACAAGTTCATGGCTTTGGGAAAAGGCGTTTGTATTGCATAACCATAGCTCACCACATAGACATTTGGCATGGCTAAAAAAAATAAAACAGATCCTTTGGCTTTTCACTCTGGACTTCTGTTACATATCACATCCTGATTTCAGTTTTGACATAGAGGAGCTTGGTGTCTAGTGCTGAAAACAAGGCACCACACTTTAAAGTTTGGATAGACAAAAGGGAACTACTTGTGCATTCTGGCTCCACCTCTCAAAACTCTTCTTCGTGCCAGGTGCGGAAGCACTGCTGTGCTTTTCCTTTAAGTGCAGCGCTTTGATCTACCTACGCAGACTTCCCTGGGTGTGTGGCTCACTGGAACAGGAGCCACAGGTGTAAATGGGATGCATGACCAGCAGCACAACCCTCCCCTGTTGTGGCAGGTATCTTAGGAGAGAACAGCTGCAGCTGCATTGGAACATCAAGTACAGCCATTCATGTGGACTTGCTTTTAATGGTATAACCTTAACAGTGAGAGAATGTGTCGCTTTTTAAAAGACTGTTCCTCCACATAGCCTGTTTTTTGGGTTTCTGTGGCAAGACTTTTGTTGTAAGACTTCTGAAACATAACACAGGGAATGTGTGATCAACAGGGACAGTTTTGGGTGGGAAATTCCCAGGAGGCCAGTGACTCCCATGTCCACGGGGCACCTTATCCACTGTGGCTTTTATCCTGAGCTTTATAGGACTATCCACAGTGCTTTGTGCTGGTAAACCTATTTTGAGGACAACATTCAGCACTGTGGATAGCTTCTGTACAGCTTAACATAAAAGCTGAAATGGATAAGAACATCCGAGCATAAGAAAAGCCTTGCTGGATAGACCAACAGTCCATCTAGTCCGGCACTCTGTACACACAGAGGCAAGCGTGATCTGCCGCATGACCCCTGCCAGCTGCCACACGATCCCTCGAGCAGGATGGGTGCGACTGACATAAAGAGCCCCCCTGCCATGGAAATCGCCAGTCTGTTCCGGAAATGCTCCTTCTCGCATGCGTATGAAACAAAGTGAGTGCCGCATCTGAAAACATGCAAC